CCCTTATTACATTGTAACAGCCAAGACGAAGCGCCCATTGATGTGAGTGATGTTGAGTTGGCCACGCCCACTCAGTCACATGACCACCGAGCCCCGCCTACCTGGCTGTTCATTAGGGCAGAGAACCGGTTGTTAAATTATTGGAATCCCACCACTGACTATAACCCTTGTCAAATAGGCAGTTATTGATTTAGCCCTGCTTTCCCATCCTATCATCATAAAATTCTCAGGGCAAGGAGATCACACTCTTGTGAAAGGAACCATATTCTTCATTTCGTTGTAGTAAATGTTGCTCACTTTACAAAAACTTAATTCATTTAGAAACAGAATTGCATTTTAAAAGGTATGCACCGTGTTGAGAAGAAAGAACAATTACACTGTCATTCAGGGATTTTCAGATTATTTCAAAATAAGCATCTTTTGGGAAGGCAAGATTAATTTGTTAAGTCAAAACATTTCTATTAGTGACAACATAGATTAGGGGTGTCAAACTTGATTTCATTGAGGGTCGCATCAGTTGTGTTTGACCTGAGGGGTGTGGGCCGTGGCCAGCTTGACGTCACTTGTGTCGGGGGACGCCTGTGGTGGCTCCCCCAGTGCTCCCCCAGTGAAAGCAGGCTCCCGAGCTCCATATTTGGCCGCAAAAGCCTCCTGCAACCGCCTGCCAGTGAAAACAGAGCACGGGTGCCTGGAAGGGTGATTACCTCAACTTGATTGAGATTCTTCAATCTTAGACTTTTGCCAGGTTAAGGAGTTGGGGGGTTCCTTGGGTTCAGAGGATGACAAAAGGCTGTGTGCTCTTGGCAGAAGGAAACCGAATATAGAATCCATTCCCCTTTCCTGGTGTGGCAAGTAAGCTTCACCTTCATGTGAATTGGGAGACTATGACAGTACTGTGTTAATAAATGAATTCTCAACAGGCATCCATGGGAAGACTGGCTCCAAGAGATGAGATCCTTTCCATCAATGCTATCCCCATCTATGGATTCTCTTATGAAGAAGCTTGTCAATATGTAAGCAGTCTTCCCACATCCATTACCCTGGACATCCAGAAAGCCGTTTTGCGTAAGATTTTGTCTTTTTTTTTTCCTGTTCTATGATCAATGGGCAGATGTATGTAGGTATCCCTGAACTATATTCAAGCCTTTTTTTTTTTGAGAAATCACAAGTGTGGAGAGGAACCAAATCATCCCATATTTTACTACCATTCATGCTGTTGTGGCCAAGATGTGGCTCATTTAAAGCAACCAAATGACTTAAGGATGCATCTTAAGCTTATTAGACAGGCACAGCATAAATTACAGCCACCTAGCAAAGTGGAGTTTGGGACAGTGTAGGACTTTGTAGCCTCCATGATCAAAAGATTCCATATTTGAATGGAAGTAGCCCTTCCTTTTGCAGACAGTGAACAAAACGTATGCTCACTGCTAGCATAATTAATATCCTTGAATTCTTGGAGATATTCGTTATATTTGAAATATGGGTATCCTGCTTTTTTACTCTTAGAAATAATTGAAAACCAAGAGGAGGATTCAATATACAAAGAAAATATTTACTGAAAAACTGACATCTACCAAATGTTAAAATCCACCAAAAACCATGAAAATAGAAGCACTTTTTTTTTGTCCCCCAACCGAGAAAATTTGGGCTGAAGAGTCTTAGATGAAAAAGTAGTAGGGAATAGTTTCTGAGATGGTTTGTGTATGGATTTTAAGATGCTTCAGGAGAGGAAGGATTCATGACGAAACCTCTCTTACCTGTCTTACTGCTTGAATATTCAGAATTTACGTTGCTAGCTAAGACGGTTGTTAAGTGAATCACACAATCGTTAAGCAAATCCAATTTCCCCCATTGACTTTACTTATCAGGAGTTGGGAAGAACACAAGGTGCAACTGAATAAATGCTAGTTGCCAAGTGCCCAAGTTTTTAATTATGTGATGGTGGGGTGCAACATCAGGAGTGTGATGTAAGTCACTTTTTTTAAGTGCCATTCAGAGGTGGTATTCTAGCAGTTCGTCCGAACCGGTACGAGGGTGGCCCCACCTATCCACCCAGGCTCTATGGCATCCCATTTAGGCCCTTTTTTAGTGAAAAGCCCATGTGCGGAAGGCTTAGTGCATGCACAGAGATGGTAGGACGCACTCACATTTGTGAACCGGTAGGGAAGGGAAGTAAATATCACCCCTGGTGTCATTGTAACTTTGAATAGCTAAATGAATGGTTGTAAGTCCAGAACTACACATATGTAGACCAGAACATGAAAGTTTTAAAGGACCTAACTAGCATGTTAAATTGTATCTGGAAAGATGGCGATAAGTAGATCATTAATAAAACTTAGCTTCCCAACATCTTAATCATCGCTGAATCTGAGCTGAACCTCTAAAATTAAAAGCTGGTGTAAAGTTTTAATAATTGTGTAATTAAGAGGATGGGATTATTTCATCTGATTCTTTACGCAGCCTTTTGACAGATTTACAAATCTCTTTGTGTCTTCAGAGGCCGACGAGGCAGTTCCGAAAGAATCAAGCAATGTTGTTATGATCAAAGAAGAAGACAGCTTTGCATATGAGAAAGAATCTTTGGAATCTCCTCTGGGTTGTATGGCAGAAAGGAGAGGATTGGCGTCTGATGCTAATGCTAATACAGCAGATCTTGCAGAAATTCACTCTATTCAGGACCCTTCTGTGGTGCTATTAGGAGAGATGGATGACTTCTCTGGCCAAAGGAATTTCCCAGAAGAAAAAGATGGTGACTGTTTATTAATCAAGGACAGACCCACCAAGGAAAATAGTTTTGAGATGGCAGAAGAAGCTCCAATTAAAAATGATCTTGTAGAAAGAGCTGTGAGTTCTGTTACCAATACACAAGAGACCTTCGGCTTTTCTGTCCTGGATTCCATTAATGCAAGGAAAATTTTAACTGTAAACCAAAGCTGTCTCAGTACCTATTCAAGGAATTTTAGCAGCCTTAGTGATGACCATTTGCCCGAAATGGAAACTAAGAGCAACACTATTCCAAAATCTATGTACGCTGCTGCAGAAGATTCCAGCTCAGACACAGAATCCTTAGCCGAGAATCCCGGAGACAGTTCATCACTCTTACTATCTATTTGTGATAATCCCTTGGCAACTCATAAACTGGTTGAATCAGATGAAGAGCAAATAGAAATCTGCAGTCTGAATTATGACCAACATTGTGTTCAAAAACAGTCTCCCATACAAACATCCCATCGTCCACCAATTTACCATTCTTTGAACAACGGTTTGCAGGCAGAAAGCAAAGTAGAAATAGATTCACTGGAAACATCGAATGGAAAATTAAAATTAGAAAAATCGCACGTATCGAAAAACTCCAGTTTAGAACATACGGTTCCATCAACTGCTTTTCAAAGTTCTCCAGATGTTTCTTCACAAGCGGTAGATGGTTTGGCTCAAGACGGGCCGGTCTGCTCTTCCATTGAGAATGGCTGTTCAAGGGGCGAAGGAGGAAATTGCCTGCAGAAGCAAGGAAATCTAATGGAAACATGTAAACATTCTGTGCCGGAAATACATTCCTGTCTGACAGAAAATATCCATAGCTGGGATGGCAACATGCTGGGCCAAGATGAACTGTGGAAAACCCAACAGTTGCAGGTAGAAAATGATTTTGCGATGGATTGTGGAAGTAACGCAATTGGTAGTCCTCCTGCTATGATGGGGAAAGGAACCAGTGATTCATCCCAATTAAGAAGGACAGACAGCTATTCTATGAAGAGCACAATACAAAAAATAGTAAACAGTCCTAAATCTCCCCTTTTGTCCAAACCAAAACAATTGGGCAGGGTCTCTTCTGCTCACAATTTACTAGGAAAAAATGAAAAAGCAAACACTATTATCTCGAAACCCTTAAATGCCAAAACACTGAATTCCGGTCCATGCAAGGGTTTTAGTGTTACATACAGTCCCTCTTCTTCCCCTAAATTACAACATGAAGCTAAAGGCGGGCCACCAAAGAGTACGGTGGAAACTCTTTCAAATAACCAACAAAACAAAGCAGGGCATAAAGGAAAGCCCCTCAATATTAAGAACAAAGCCAGGGCTCATTCTGACGCTCTTGGCCCTGCTGCTGCCAAAGCTGAGGGCACGGATCAAAAAAAGATCACCCTCCCTGCCCAAGGTTCACCCAGGCTCCTTTCAAAGAAAGGTTCCTCACTCCATAACTTAGCCACACACCTGGAACCCCCCAGCAGGAGCCTCTCTATGGGTTCTAAGATATTTCAGCAGCAGGAGGAAGTTCAGCCTGCTTTGCTGGAGCCCCAGACATCCGCTCTGCCCGTGTTGAACGGTGGGAGCAGCGTTATGAAAAATAAAGATAAATCCACCGTCAAACCAAAATTGGGCAGGGCCGGAATATCAGGATCTCCTAAAATGGAAAAAGAAGCACAGGTCAACAAGTGGGAAGTCACGAACAGCGAAAAAAGGGGAAGGGCTGGCATAGAACCAAGAAACAGCCCTCCTAAGTCAAATACGCCTTCTTCTGAAGCCGCCCCCAAGGCTTGTTGTCCGAACGACAGAACCGAAAACAAGGGGATGAGTTTGAACTATGATGGATTGGAAATGAAGCCATTAAAACCTGATAATGCTGGGCTTTTAAAAAAAGAGTCCTCCTGCCTTATTTATCCCCCTGCTCGGCAAGAGCAGACCAGCCAGGAAATTCAGCGCACTTTCATTGAAGTAAGGTTATCTTCTTCCTCCTTCGTTCCTGACTTGCCCCTAGAGAAGAAAGAAGAGGACAATAAGGCCCATCAATTCAGAAACAAGGCGCTGGATTGCCGGCAGAGCACTTTCCATAAGGAAGATGCCCCCAGCGCATTGAAACCTGTGACAAGGACCTATTCAGTGCCAGCACAATTATCCAATCATTTAAGGGAAAACAGCAATGATGATAGGGATGAACCAGCCCATCATGTCCAGGATATCTTAGGTAATCTTTCGAGTGCAAACCCTTCCAATGCAGAGTTGGCCATGTTGAAAGTTGTCCAGCTAAGTCTCAACAATCAGGATGCGAAAGCCACCTCGGCTGGTGTCCTGAAATCCAGCAGTGACAATGGCAGCCCCGTTGCCCAAAAACTGAAAAAGGGCAGGAGGAACTATTACTACTACGAACTCAATTGGCCACACGATCCCGTTTCTTCTTTTTCTGTAAAGCAGCGAATCAAATCATTTGAGAACCTGGCTAATTTCGATAGGCCGATGGTCAAAGCCATCGACCTCCATTCCACCACCCTGAACTCTAAACTGCCCATTGGCCGAAGATTGTCCAGTGGCATTTCTGCAGTTTCAGCTACCAGCGTGAATGATGCGGTCCAGGCCCTGCGACGGAGCTTGAGTTCCTACTGTGGAGGTGAAGCCCCAATGTCTCCAAGGGTCACCAGATCTTCAACCAGCTCGACATTAACAAATGTGCAACAGGATTTCCCCAAGAGCAGCAAAGACGATGGTCACATGGAGAAGAGTGAAAGGCATGCTTTTGAAGAACCAATTAGTTTACCACCAACGGCCACCAATGTCCGAAGAAGCAGAGCCTCAGGTGGACATATTAGACACATGCCTTTGTCTCGTTCCAAACTCCGGGAGCTGAGAGCTCTGAGCATGCCAGATCTTGATAAGCTCTGCAGTGAGGACTTCTCCATGGAGTCTCAACCTTCGTCCATCAAAACCGAGTTGCATCTTCCGCCTGTTGTGAGATCCCTCGATGCTCCCATTGAAAACATTTCTAAGTTGAATGAATGCTCGGGATTATCCAGTCCTGGGATGACAAGCAGGCAACCTTCCAAAGAAACCAGTCCTTGGAATAGTGGCTCAGGAACTCCTGGTTCAACATCTGATGAGGAAGGGCTACAGTATGATGGTGGTCTGAATAAAGGGAAGAGCTGGTCTATCAGGTTAGTTTTGAAGTTTTCTTTTTCTTTTTTGCATTTTTTTATTTTTAAACAGAAACATTAAAAAAATTCTCATCCATACATACTGTAGAAAGTGTATCAGTTGGTTACAAAAGGTTTCCATGCA